TTGCGATGCTCAAAAACACAAGGATTCAGAAACCAAAGGGGACGATGCCATGGATTCAGAAACGAAGGAAAAGGATGCCATGGATTCAGAAAAAAATAAACCACCTATGACTAAGAAGCCCAAGGCTAAGAAGCAGAAGGTCTCTATTTTCGATTTCTCTTCTCTAAGAATTGGTACATGGGAGGTAAAACTACTATTTCTTCTTTGAAAATAAGATTGTAATCTCAATTTGTAGCATAGTATAATACTCAATTAAATATGATATGATATATCAAGCTACATCTGCCGTTCATTTCCTCTAATAGACGGTTGGAGATCAATAGCGCTCCCACCAAAGAAAGTTTGGAGATTAACTGGAGTGTAGAACCTAGGATGTTCACTTAGGTACAGTTAATCTCCAAACATGTACCTATACTTCGTATACTAAATTTCTTGGGATGTATGCGAACAGGTTCATGTATGCCTATCATAAATTTCGTCATCATGCAATTATAGTCTTCCATTTTGATTGTGTGCCATGTCATGGAAATTCTAGATTTTTGGATATCATTTATTTCTTTACAATAAACATTCCAAGTTATTAATTTTTATATTTTAGTTGTGACTTTTTAATATTTAAAAAGAAATTCCAATTTGGAAAATAAAATTTTTTCAAATTTTTGTTTTAAAATATATAAGATGACATATTATTATTTTTTTCTATTGTAAATATTAGTAGTTGAAACTTCAAATTTATAACAAGGGATATGAATTAATAAGCAATAGGGAAAGGTTTCTATACTTTCCCTACTACATAAAAGACGTATCCTTCCCTATTCCACCCAGATCTGATGCCTTAGAGTATTTTATTTTTAGTGTTTTTTTCTAAAAATAGTATGAATATGAAATTTGGTATGTATAATCATCTCAATGATCGCACTTAAAAACAATAATAAAAATAAATTTTGATAAAATATAATGACCAAATTAGCCCTTGAAACTTTTAACGGTATTTTGACCATTTTATTATATTAAACATATTGTTTTTATATTTTTTACATGTGAGAGTTTAAGATAGGAGTGAACACCCAAAATTTAGTGTCAAAATAGTATTTTTTATATTTTCTACATGTGAGAGTTTAAGATAGGAGTGAACACCCAAAATT